CACTGTTGAATCCAACCAAGCGTGAAGTTATAGGTGGGATGAATTTTCAAGTGCTTTCACATACGTGCGTAAGAAAATAAGATCTGTGTGAGATGGGCAGATGTAGCACACGCTTCCCTCGATTATGCTGTAAGCGTGAGAGGCCTGTTTCTAACTTTTTTTTTCTTTTTTATAAATAAAAGTGAACAATGTACAACAAACAATTTATAAGAAAGAATTATCATCGATGCGTTCACGGTAAAAAAAACAAAAGAAAAAAGAAAATAAACATAATCTATCGAAATGATTCCAAGAGATCGTTCTCAATCTCGTGAAATGAAATCGATTCTATGAAGCAAAGAAAAAAGAAAGAAAAAAAAACGCACCCAAAGAATAAGGGATTGGGCGTGGTGTTTGTGTGTGTATGTGTGTGCGCGTGTGAGGGAAGCGGAGGAGAAAACGAAGGCCACCAGTCGTTTAATTATTTTTATGGAAATGTTGGTCGTCGGTAGTCTGGGATTACTCGTGCAATTTCGTGGCACGACTCCGATTCATAGGATTTCTGGTTGGTTGGTAGGTAGGCCGGTTCCCTGGCCCTTCTTGCATAATGTTTCGAATATGCGATAGTAGTTTCACCCTTAGGGGGTACCGATGGTAACATCTCGAGGGGTGGTTTACCCCCTGTAGGCCAATCTTGCGACGATCGAAAGTGCCGCTGGGAAATGAACGCTGTTGAGAGTTTCCCTATCGAATATAATAAATGCAACTTCATCGGCATTTATCGTCTTTGATATCAACTTGGCTGGGTTGCTGACTAACAAAGAATAGTTTTCTTTATCATTCAACAGATAAGATTCGTAAATATGTACTCGCTGCTTTCTACGGTTAGAATCTTTTACTTCGTCGAATTTTGTTTAATGGGAAACGTTTCTACACCCTATTTATCTTAGCAGTCTCTAGAATTTCAGCTTCAGACAAAGTATTACTAAGGGTGAACATCACAGTGGGGTGTTCATATATATATAAAAAAAAACTAGATCATAAGTTTCTCGTGCCAGATTCATATATCCCGCAGTGCAAGTTGCATCTATGATTAATCCATAATTTTTATCAATTTTTTTTTGCTCGATAAATCATTATTATTACGAAATACATTAAATTAATTTAACAAGAATTTGTTGTCCTAACAAAACCAAGAGAAAAAGAAATAACGTAAAACTATTTGAAAAGTTTTTTTAGAAAGTGTATTTTTTTCCAAGTCGAATGTAAAGAAGATGCAAGCAAGAGATTTGGAGACTCGGTGGAAGCTTCCCTATCGGTTGGTTGACAGAAGATAAACAGGCAGATCTACGACGCCGGTCAGTCGCGCCCGTTTTAACTGCCACGTCCGAGATAGTCCTCGTTTTATTATCTATTTGCTTTTTACATGGGCTTGCTATATATATATATATATATACAAACGTGATCTGCTTCAAATATATGCACGTATACACTCATACACGTATACTTAATATTTACGTTCGTTGCCCTCTTTTGTTAAAGATCAGTTTCAATCGATTCAAATGATGGACGTGATTCAAACGATCGATGAGATTCCTCTTATCTTTTTATCTTTCTTTACTTACAAGTTGGAAGACTAACTGAAAGATAAAACACAGTATTAATTTCATACCATAATAATATAATTTTCTTTTATTCTTTCTAATTGGCAGCTAAGTTTTTTAATTACTTATTGTATTACATTTGTATACACACATATATATATAATATTGTATATATATGTATATATACATGTATATTATACATTATACACAACGTGTGTGTGTGTGTTGTGTGTGTAATAAGTGCAATATTGTACAATTGATGTTGTTGATTTTTACTTAAATTTGTTTGGCATTGTTAGCGGTCAAGTAAAATATGTTTGAGAGAATGAAAAAATGGAAGTGGAATATGTCTATGTAGACGTAGTTGTAAGTGATAACGGTTAAGGAAGGCTTGTTCTACGAAGAAAGGATTATAAGTTGCAGCTGCACCGTGATGTTTATACGCTCACTGAGTGCAGCGATCCAAGAAGGAGACTTCATTTCGCGAGCCTTCTGAAAACGTAAACCGATATGTTGATTGACATGAACCTACCAAGCTATTTTGTAAAAGGAATTCATGTTTTACTTTCTTATAAAGTTTTACGATAAATCTTTCCACGATATTGGACGTCAGGAATGAAAAAATATTTATGAGAAAGATTATTCACTTACGCGTTAACGAAATACAACGATCGATATCGTCCTACAGTTTACTATAATTATATTTATACTTTAAAAAATCTAAAAAGAAACAGGAGAAAATACAAAATTTCACTTATTACCTCTTTACGTATCATGTGACTTTGATACAAAACTATGTTTATGGGGAAAAAATACTCTTCAAAGTTTATAATTTGTCATCTCTAACAGGATAATATAACTTACACAAAAGATGCACTATTCTGAGTGCAACCTATTCAAATAATTATGAACAACTTTTAATTGTTCCTTCGTAGAACGAGCTATTTTAATTATTACCTACAAAATACATTTACAAATACATTTATGTGTATACATACTTCAAATACAACTTGATAGAGAACGTGTTAATTACAATAATTAAGATAACTACGATCTTTATGAATTAAATCTAAAAATACGTATTGTTTAATTCCAATATCAAATAACAAAAGAAACACAGTTGTAAAATGACTCGAAGTTCTCTAACCATAAGAATTAAGTAACATATTCTAAAATTGTATAAATTATAAATAACTATATAATTTCGCTATTGAAGCATTTACAAATGTGATGAAAATGTAGTAACATACATATTGGACGATATATTAAGCTTAAATTTCTCATTGTCGTTAGTAAGAAGAAGATGAAACTCGAGCTATGTATTTACTTATGTATGCATGTATATAGCTCGTCTTTTAGGAGCAGCAGCAAATCGTTCGTTTTCATTCGGACGATGAAATCAGGGTCGCGTGAAAGGGCTTCCGGTTGCATTCAGATATCACAAGGCAGAAGAAAGAGAGAATTAACGGGCCAAAGGGCGACATGCTTGATAGACGACGAAAGAGCTCTTTCTAAGACCTAACTGAAATCTCCCCTCCCCCCCTCTTCTTCTCCTCCTTTCACTATTTCTCTCACTCTCTCTCTCTTTTTCTGGTGTCTCTAGTAACGTGCGTAGATGTTCGTGCATTTCGTGATTATGAATGCGGATTAACTTTATTCAGAGTCTCTCCTCTATTCGTCTTCCCTCTACGACTATTCATCAAGATCTAAGGAAGAAGTGACGAAACAATACTGTCGTCTCTGTTTCTTTCTTTCTCTCTCTCTCTCTTACTCTCTCTCTCTCTCTCTCTCTCTCTCTTTCTCTTGCTCTCTATTTCGATCTTTGTCTGTTCTTCTGTTTCCTTCCATGTCCTGATTTATTTTCGCAGACTGTTCGTTTGAACTTGGCGCCAATATATCAGGAACGTTCCCCTTTTCAAACCTATACCATACATACACACACATACATGTATATAGATACAAATAACATACATTAATCATTCTAACATATATATACGTAATCGGTATTAGAGAAGCTTAGGATTTCAAGTTTATTCATTATTTCTTTCTCAGACAAAGATGAAAAGAATTTAGTCTAAATTTTAAAAGATTGAATAAAAACAAAAAAAAATGACGGTCTTACCTTGGATTAAATGGTTCGAAGGAAATGAAGGATAATAGGATCAACTGTGGAATACTGTTCGGAAACCTTGGAATATATTTTGCTTTAAAAAAATGAAAATAAATAATAAAGGATCGAGAATGATTATTGTTGTTGCAACGATTAAGATAATGGCGTATACCAATCGAGATCTTGTATATATAATAAATGTTGTCTTCGTCAAGGATGTCAAGTTTTCATTGTAATGCGCGGGCTTTTCTAACTACTCCGACGACCAATCACGTTAATTGAAGGTTTATGTAAGCTCTGCTTGAATGTGCGCTCGTTTCTTACTAATATACCTTCTTTTTGTATATCATTTTTTCTCTCTCTTTCTTTTCCTTTTCCTTTCTTTCTTTCTTACTCGTTTTACTCTTGAAAAATATAATTATTCTTTGATGTAAGATTACACGTTAGAAAAGATATCTTTTTTATTCTTCAATGATACGCTCTTGATGATACGCTCGCTTTCAAAATAATGGCTGATGTTATATACTACGTTCATCATAACAAAGTAATTAATCTCAAGTTTCATGATATACTATGTTAATCATAATTAAATGATTTAAATTACACGTTTAAAAATGTTATATTTGAAAATTTTTATTAAAATATTAGACATATTTTATTATTAATAAAAATATAATTAATCCTTTCGTAATTAGAGACCCATATACGGGTCCTCCGTACAAACGCCCCATATGAAAATTCTATCGATAAAGATCATACTATTAATAAAAAAAGGAAAGTATTGGAAATGATTGATGAATCATTTTATAAAATATATGTATATCTATTTACATATTTAGATACGTATGTACTATGTATATTATATTAAATAGATCTATAAAAGATTACTTATTAATTTATTAATAATTTGTATGGATTTCTTTTCTGAAAGAAATAGGATATGAAGACCGTGAATGGAAGGATTGCGCTTAGGGATGGGAACAATGGCGGGATTTGGTATTTGCGGCAATGAACTTTCAAGTTCCTTATGCCAACCAATAATAATAATAATATAATAATAATATAATAATAATAATAATAATAATAATAATAATAATAATAATAATAGTAATAAAAATAATAATAATAGTAATAATGGATTTCTTGTCAATTGACATAGAATCCCATAAATCTATTTATTTAGTATTTAAGCATACATTTTACAGTAATAAATGACTTGTCATAATAATTCATAATACAATAATAATACATGATGTATAATTCGTCCCTTTAATTAGCGGTAACAGAGATTTAAATTGGAATATTTATTCATTTACCTTTTTTTAACTGGTCAATTCCAGTGAAAACCCATTTCTTCGTCTGATTGTGATACAAATTGGATAAGAGCGCTAGAAAAATAAATGAATTAAGATAATAAAAATACGTTGCAATACAACGTATAGCAACCTCTATATGAATCGCCAGTAATGAAAAAATTAATTATATTAAATATATAGTATTATTGTTAAATGGTTTTTCTTTAATTTATCATGCATCTTGAATTAAAAATGGAAAAATGAACTGTTTTTTTTTTTGGAGTTATTTTGGAAAAAGCAATTTTTATCTCACCCTGTAAATTGACAAGAAACATATCATCTAAAAAATTGAAAAAAAGTAATACTTACTTAAGTATCTGTCCCTCTTGATTATCCCAATTTACTGTACCAGGATGAGAAATTTTATATTCTAATAAATTATTTAATATCGTTCGAAGATCCTGTATAAGTGTGGCAGTTCTCGCATCGCATGAAAAATTTGGATAACCGTTTAACTTTATTGTGTATTTATCCCTTCCTGCAACTAAAATAAATTCATTTGTTAATATAAAATCGGTGTGATAGAAAAAAAGTATGCTACATGAAAAATAATATTGTCATACAAAGAAATGGATCTGATCCTGCAAATAATAATATCGGAGCTGTGATGCAGGACGTGTCGTGTAAATAAATAGCGGTAGATCGTTGCTTTGTAAAATATGTCAAAAAGGGGCTTGGAAAAACCTTCATTTTACTATTAACGCTTGAGGGGTGTACTTTGACAAGACCATCTTCGAGTGTCAAAGCATTTACACCATGCTTATGAATTCCTTTAAAGACACTAATTAATATTTTTATAATTAATTAACCATTTTAATAATAAAATTAATAATCCATTTGTAATTATAAATCTTTATAAGGAATACGTACCCATTGTCGATGGTTGCTATATTTGGATATAATCCTACACAAACTATAGCTTTGATCAACGCTATATTATTAGAATTTCTATTGGCATCTTGAGCCAATGGATCAACGCTATTTAAAAATTTCATTTCACACAAGTGCTGAGCAAATTGACGTTTCATTTCGGAAAGAAGACTTAAAGTATTGTAAGACAAAAAGTATTGATAACAAAAACCAAAGCTGTTATTAATTTCGAATCTTCTGAGAGCTTCGGCTAAAGCAATATGATCGCTGTATTGCCACATACTGAGTTCTAATTTTTTGTTCATTGCTTTCTCTTCTTTTCCCAAAGGACAATAAAAGGCATCTTTGAAAGTAAGACTGGCTGCTATAGAAAATACAGGATCTACGCAAGAAAACAGTGCTGCCCATATAATCATTTTACCTGTAAATTCAAAAACAAAACAACAATGAATTAAATATTTTTAAATAATTAATAATCGTTGAAGAAAAGGAAAGAAATTACCAGTCCTAGGATCAAGAGGAAGTTGTGCCAAATGATATCCAAGAGGTGTCAAATGTTCGTCGTTGTCTAAAGCATTTAATGTTTCCAATAATTCAAGTGATAAATCAATGGCTTTCAAATTAGGTGGATCCATAACGCTAGCAAGAAATTCCTTCGCTTTTCCTAATTGTAAAATTTTAATCTGCAATATAACTGTTTCTAATCGCGTGCGTAACATTTCGGGTAATTGGTAATCATCAAATGTTAGTTCTCTTGCTTTACTGTACAGATGATAACAATATCCCTTTTTAACTCTAAAACAAGTAAATAAAAACTTATTCCATTTTTAATACTAGTCAACTATTAAACTAGTTCCTGTTGAATAATTAAAGTTAGGCCGGAACACTGTGTGCTTTTGGCTTCAGAGAGGTGAATCAGGACCTCTATGGAAAGTGGACAGTGTCAGAGAGTGTTCTCAAAAAAATGTTCGAACTCGTAAAAGGAAAAATAATAAAAATATTTTAAATATGTATTAAAAGAAAGAGTTAATTACCTTCCAGCGCGACCTCGTCGCTGTTTTGCATTAGCCTTAGAAACCCATTCGGGCTCTAACGTTTCGATATTTCGATTTACATCGAATCTGGAAAGCTTTGTTTTTCCACAATCGATGACATATACCACATCTTCTATCGTTATGGATGTTTCAGCAATCGATGTAGCGATGATTATTTTACGTACCCCAAGTGGTGGTTCTTTAAATACAAGCTTCTGATCGATTGTTGGCATACGAGAGTGAAGTGGATAAATAATATATTGATCTGCAATATTAAAAAAAAAAAGAAATAAAAATCAAAATCATTCGTCACATTTAATATCAAAATATGCATTCTATAATTAAAATTACTTACTAGTCGGATAATATTGGGAATTCAACATAAGTTTATTTAAGTTAATGATATCCATCATACCGGGTAAAAATACTAGAATAGCTCCTGGCTCTTTAGTTTTACATATATGTCTAATCAATTCTTCTATAAGTTCTAAAGATAAATTTTCACAGTTTGGATTGTGTAATTGGTTTATGACACTCATAGGATATTGTTTCTAAAAGAAAAAATATAATTATACTAACCGTTTAAGTCCCAAAGTTCCTTGGAAAAAATTTTGTCAAAAAAACCCAAGCAGTGCGACAGTGCAGCACTTGTCTCGATTTAAATCGAGAAAATCTAAGCAACATTATTGTGTTAATTTTTTATTAATGCATCGATTGACAAACATTTTCAACAGAATCCTAAGACACTGTCGATCATCCACAAAGGTCAAATGGAGTAGAGTTTTTTTGACATGAAATCTGATCTATGGACCATCAATAAACGTGCTGCTTGGAACTCAAATGGTTGGACAACGCGTATATTCATTTTCCATGTTATACACTACTTACTTCTACTGTAAGAGTTTCTAAATAGGAATTTATCATTTCTCGATATTTACAATATTTATCGTTCTGTTCCTTAAATTTCTTCTGATGTCTTTTATAACTAAGTTCTTTTAATGAAAATTGATTTTCTTCGAAACGAAAACTGTAAAAAATGCAAGAAAAAATAAATATATAAATAATACAGTTTATTCATTGTTCAAATAAATAATATACTCACTCTGTTAATAATAATATATCTTCTAAATAATATTCTTCTACGGGATAAGTGAACCCTGGTATATGAATTATCGGACAATTACTGTAATAATCGGAAAATCTTTGGGAATTAAGTGTTGCACTCATTAAAATCACTTTTAAATCTGGTCTCTGTAGAAGTAACAATAAATCTAATTATTAATTATACCTTAAAAAAAAATAAAATGAATAATTATAATTATGATATCAATAATACGTACAACAGGAATTATTTTCCTTAATAAAGTAATAATAAAATCACTTTCTGTACTGCGTTCGTGAACCTCATCTAATATTATATGCGAAAATCTTTTCAATGCTGGATCGGACTGCATAAATTGCAAAAGCATACCGGTAGTACAAAATAATATACTTCCACATTCCCTAGGTGATTTCCTTTAATACAAATCGATTATAAGCATTAATTTTTAAACGAATAACTCATATATTTATTGACTTAAAGTAAGCAATTAGTTAACGAGCATAATCTGTTCAAAAATAATGTCTGCTAACCAAACTGTTTATCATTATTTATATTTATATTATTTATATAATTTATTAAATTATATAAATATATATAAATTAATTAAATAATTTATATTATTTATTAATCAATCACTTGCAAACAGTATATAATAATAAATCATTTCTACATACTTTTCGAGTCTTATTTGAAAGCCCACAGATCTGCCAAGTTTCTCTGCTCTCTCTGCAGCTACTCTTTCAGCAACAGATATCGCAGATATTCTTCTAGGTTCCGTACAAATAATTCGGGTAATGCTGCCATTCTTATTTTCTAATTCGTTATCCAGTATAAATTGTCCAACTTGTGTCGTCTTACCACAACCTATAAGATAATAGTTTAAAGTCAAAACCAATCTCTTTTAACACTAACGATTATGAAAACGTAAATGACTTACCAGTTTCCCCGCTAATTACAATAACTGGATTATTTTTAATTAAATCTAAGATCTCCGCTTTCTTATCATACGATGGTAATTTTTTTCTAAAAGCTTGCATAGCTACATACTCATTACTATTCTTTTTTTTGTTAAATTCTTCAAACAGAATTTTGTCAGTGACAGGATCCCTTTCCAGTCCAGATTTAATGGACATTGCTTTGACAATATTATCTTGTATATTACCGGACAGAAGTTCTAAGAACTTTTGTTTAAATCTAGAGTCATCAATGTGAGTATATTTGCTTTCTAAATCACTGTTGTTTGTAACATCCTGTTTGTCTTCATTATTGCACAATTTATTGTACAGTCCTTTCGAATTTTCTATGGCTAATCTCATTGCTTCTCCTACGGTTTTATTAACTCTGAAAAAAATACTTTTTGGTTCTTTTTTTTTGTGTTGATCCCTATAATATAAACCAATTTGTTTTCCTTTCAGCCATGAGGGATGCCCTCTAGGTCTTTCCCCTGGTCCTTCATTATTTCTTGAAGTCGACATCGATGCATTTGATTGACTTTGTTTATCTATTAAATTAATATGTTTATATAGACATTAGTTAAATATTAACTAAGATTACATGATCCATACACACACAAAAGTAATATAGCAGGGTATTATTTATATTAAGTAAATAAAATATTTTAATTAACATTGTTTTGCTAAAACCAAACAAAAAGGAAAATTTGTGTTTTTAATATATATTCATTATTTTATTTGTAAATAAGAAATTTACTTCCTCTTCCAGATCTTGTTGGTGCCGACGTTCCACGATGAAAAGACATTTTTTAAAATCGTATATGTTAATTTAAAACAATATTTTATAAATATCGTACAAACTAATAGAGTTTAAATCGTGAATGAATCGTTGACTGTTTTACGGCGGAGGTAGAAACATAGGAGAACGAATGCTATAGGCAATTTGTCATAAATTGTGTTCCCTAAAAAAGTTACAAAATACCAATATTTATTTCTGCCACTAGGGCGGCGTGGTGATCAGTGTGATCCTAGTGACGTCACAGAAAACNACACAGGAGAGCGAACGCTATAGGCAATTTGTCATAAATTGTGTCCCCTAAAAATGTTACAAAATACCAATATTTATTTCTGCCACTAGGGCGGCGTGGTGATCAGTGTGATCCTAGTGACGTCACAGAAAACCGTAGAGCATGCCTCCGTGATTGCGTATTTGTAAAACAAAATCTTAACTGTTGTTAGGACTAAAACTATAAGATTTGATATAATGAATGAAATTATTGATAAAGTCGCTAAAGAAAAAGCACTGCCTTTCGTAGACTGCAAGGAACACCAATCAAAGTTGATGAAAAAAATATTAAATTATTTTATTACTATCCGGGGTCACTTTCTTGCTACAAACCATATAAATAAAAATAATAATCCGAACTTGTATAGGTCATGTCTGTTCTTTTCCAAACATATAAACTATTGTCAAGTATTTAAATTTATACGAATATATTCACTGTTATGTTATAAAAAATAGTTATGTACATAAAAGTTAAAACTATAAATATTTTCAGATTATTTAATTATTTACTATTGGAGTTGTTATTCATTTTATACTTTTCTTAAATTTCCATAAATTAATAAAATGGCAACAAGTATTGCAAAGTTCATTGATTAATAAAGTAAAAATAATTTTTATTGATTACACATTATTTTAAAATAGAAAAACCATTTTTTTTTTTGAACTATTTCTTCATAAATTTATAACTATAAATGTGTTATATACTTTACATTGAGTAAGAAATGTCATTTTTTATTGTTATTAATTCATTTATTAATAACCAATATAAAATATACTTATAAAATTATTAAAAATTTTTCTCCCATTATTAGTTTGCTTGTTCGTCAAATTTTAAATAAATAATTTAATAAGCAATAATTACATAAATCTGTTTATAATTTCAGGTATGTACAAATGATTTTATTTAATATTGTTAAGTTGAAGAATCTTAGCAGCTACAGCGCACCCTGGAATAAAACTTTATTGGTTCTACCTCCGTCGGTTCTATATTTTGGTGACACTTTTCAACAATGCGTTCGTTCTCCTTTGTTTTTACCTCCGTCCTCCGTCCAATTACTAACCTTCTCTTGTTTAATCATAAATTTCTTTTACTAAAAAGATTTTCCACCCCGTTCCACAAAAATAAAAAGACTCGTAGACCCATCTTCAGAGAAATATTAAAACTTATAGAAGCGGGAAAAATGATTCTTTTCAAATTGTTATAAAAAAATATGAAAAATATACTGAATTCAATTTTTTATGAAAGAAATAATAAATAAAAAATGTTAATATAACTTCGAATGAATGCTTTTTCAAATGAAAATGAATAAATAAATGAAACAATAATAAATGATATTTTAAATAATTGCTTAGTCGATAAGGTAAATTTCGAACGAAATTGTAAGACGAGTAGTTGTTCCAATTTATTTATAACTCGTGATAACTTTCATTTTTTTTCATTTTTAATACATTCATTCTTCTAACTGCTGCTACCGATAATAAAATTAACTAAACGCGTGTGCTTTGAATAGAAGAGAGAGAGAAATAAAGAGAAAGTGAAAGAGAGATGGGTACTACAGATACCGCACCAATTGTCAAAAAAGTATTATTAAATGAAAGTAATGACATTAGCGAAGATTATGGACCGAATTTAAAATTATTACCCTGTAACAATCAAGTTAAAGAATTACAAACAATTTTACGAGACAAGTAAGTTTTAAATGATTACATTTTAATATATGAAATAATGACTTTGCCATGCTTTAACAATCGTCGACGAAATCAACAAAAATTTTTAATATTTAAGTGTTTATTAAAAGATTTAATTACTGTTGTGATACAAATTAATAATATATCATTATTTGTGATTTATTAGAAATACCACGAGGAGTGACTTTAAGTTCTATGCCGATCGTTTGGTAAGACACATATGTTTCCTTTTTTAAACTTATAATTATGACGAAAAATCAATAATATTATACAATTATTATTAACATACTATCAATTTTTGGTTAATCAATTTGCTAAAAAAACTCGAATAATTTCTTTATTATTAAATTTCTTCACATTTTTATGCACATACATACATGCATATATGAATATATAACACATGACTATAATAATGATAATTTTAGATTAGGCTTGTTATTGAAGAAAGTTTAAACCAACTGCCTTTTTCTAAACGCGTAGTTATAACGCCAACCGGATCAGAATACAGTGGTTTAAAATATCAAAAAGGTAATTGCGGTGTTTCTATCATAAGAAGCGGAGAAGCTATGGAACAAGTATGTATGAATAATAATTAATCAATGTTTTATATGTATATGTGAGAAAGTTATTTAATTCTTTGTAGGGCTTAAGAGATTGTTGTCGTAGTATCAGAATCGGTAAGATACTTGTAGAAAGTGATGCAGATACGCACGAAGCTAGAGTCGTTTATGCCAAATTCCCAGATGACATAGCAGAAAGGAAAGTCTTATTAATGTACCCTATAATGGGTAAGCGTAACGGGTTTATTATAGTATATTAATTAATAGTTAACATGTTGATCGCCACAATTATATTTTCATCGAGGCCAAGCGTAACTCCTAGGAGAAACAGACTCCAATCTTTACATGGCGATCAATGTGTTAATAGATTACGAAGAGAAAATAATGTTTTGATTATTATCATAATCGCGTATATTCAGGTACAGGAAATACTGTGATAAAGGCCATAGCTGTCTTAAAAGAACATAATGTGTTAGAAGAAAATATCATCTTGTCAAATTTATTTTGTACACCAACAGCAGCCAAAACTCTAGTCACTGTCTTTCCCAAGGTAAGTCTATTAAACTAATTTATATCAATTATTTAATATCTACTCTATGTAATTACAAGTCTTATTAGTTAACATGTTCGTTATCAGTATAATACAAATTTTCATTGAGAGAGCTCAATGTGAAATATTTATAACAATAAACGGCACGAAAAATAAGTTCTGGTAGCAAATGTGTTCGTACTAACATTATGTTATTATAGATAATATTAAAGTATATGCTTATGAATAATTTAACCTACATCTAAATCTAGGAAATAAATAATAAGATATAATTTAATATCTTAGTTTTAAAAATTATGTGTGTGTTAAAATTTTGTATTACAGATGAAGATCCTGACCTCAGAGATTCATTGTATTGCACCGAACCACTTTGGACAAAAATACTTTGGTACGGATTAATTATATTTCATATAGTCCAGAACATACTATATTATTAGGAATGATATAATGCTAAAGTAAAAGAAAATTTAGTTATCGAAGGTTACATGGTGCACAGATAAAAACTATATTATATATATTACGTTTCTATCTGATACAAGGAATACGATAATTATTGCTATAATATAAGTTTATTCTCTCAGTCAGTTTTATTATACTGAGTACCTGATGAAATTATTATTACGATTTCAAGCATACCGTGCTTAAATGAACTATTTTAAATTTAATGATTATCGCAATAGTACATTAATTCAATTCGAGTCATTTATTTTTTTTTTTTTTTGGATGGTCAGTTAAGTCAGTAATATAATCTTAGCACGTATAATTTATACTATATTATTTAATGATTACCAGTTGCATATGTCAACCTTCTACAACTTAATTTTTTTCCAATCTACCGTAGAATTAAGTAGTGCATCTTATTTTTCTTAGTACTTACATATAAGAAAGAAAACACAAAACAACGTATGATACTTTTGACAGGAGTGTTCAACTTAATATCCTTAAATTTGATCTATTCTTTTTTTAAGATACAGTATAATGTAAATAATGAACTTTTCTATATATTGAGGCAATTAGTATTTATATGATATAACTTTGTTTGAGGTAAACTTAAGAGCCCTTAAACTTAAGCCCTTGTTACAGATATATCTCATTGAAAGTATATATTGCATTAGCACATACTTTTTCGAAGAGTAGCTACAAAAGTTTACTATTTCAACGGATGATCAATAAGTGGTTGTATAGTAATCTTATTAGTCTTTATACATAATACAATGAACCCGATAAAGAAAAAACAAAAATTATCACCTTATAGATTTAACGATACTATAATATTATTCAATTATGATACACTATTTTGATATTTATGGATATATTTATTGAAAAAATTATGCTTTTTCTTTTATTATTCAGTTTTTTTAATTATATATAAAATTTGTTAGAACTTTGCATATTGTTATTTTATGAAACAGAAAGATGCATAATTTTTTTCAATTCATACATTTGAGATCTCTTTTTATTTAGAAAATATATTTTTTATCTTTTGGTTATTAAGATTGAAAATTTTGTCAACAAGTATAATATGAGCATAGAATTGTTATACCAACATCAACATTATTTTCAATTTTATTTAATATTAAATTTGAGGAATCATAAAATATATTCCTTGACTGCAGCTTATCCATTATTATTTTAATTAATAATTAAGAAATTGTTTAAATCCTTTTTTTTTTTAATTATGATTCTAAGCGATATAAATTCGATTTCTTTGTATAATATTTTATTCATAGAATGATAAAAAAATATAGATTTTTTTGTATACACATTTCTAATAAGGTGCATCTGAAGAGACTTAGACAGTCACAGAGAGCACAATAATGCATAATAAATAATAAATAAAATAAATAAAAAATGGCGAATCATGCATAATAAAAAATACAATCAATATGGCTGCATAATTACTTAAGCACTCCTTTTACAAGTGCAAACACATTTATGAATTTGCAATTCTTTATCATTATTATTAAAAATAATAGAGGAAAAGTCATATTTAAAGTATTCATAAAAAGATCATAATTTTTCATATTTTTATGGATATATTTTGTAAATTAATAATTCACTGCTGGAATATTCTGCTAATTACTTTGTAAATCTTTCAAAATGCGATATATTATTATTTCTTTTTTTTTCTTATTATCATAATTGAATTAATTGAAAATAAACACAAAGTCATATTATGAAATTTTGCTATTTAACTGTTTACAAATATTTGCCTTATTATTTGATATTGCATTTTAATAGATACATTATCCTTTTTTGTGAAAATATTGCATACATATTGCATACATGAAAATATTGCATATATACATACATTTATACTTTTATGTGAGTTTCAGTATAATACATATTATTATTATGTAAATGAGAAAACAACAATGACAACACTCATCATAAGAATATATGTATGTTTGAATGTGTATGTTAAAAAATAATGTTCAACAATTATTTGTTGAGAGTGATGTGCAATGAAACGTATAGAAACGTATTTTAATTCATTTTATTTATTTTTATTATCAAGATAATTATATATTTCATATATAATTAATATTTATTGGTAATCGAGTGCATCTTTGTACTACATTGAAATGCGTTTCTATTAAAAAGAATTAAACTTCTTCTGTTTTTGCTATTCATACTTCGTTATTAATTTTATTGAGTAACAATGAGTGAATAATTTTTAGGGATAGTCAAATTTAAAAAGTAATATGATAAAAAAATAAGTTTACGATATATATTTTTACAAATAGAAAATGCCAAAAAATATTCAAAAGGAAACTTTTAGGATTTATAATTATTAGTTGCTAAATATATACGTACTTAATGTTTTCCTTATTTTTTTATTTAAAAAATATTGTTGGCGAAAAATTTGCCTTATACGGTGCCTGTGAAAATTCTGCATCGGACAGACGATGAATAGCAATTACAGAAGTAAAAAAAGAGAAATAATCATAACGATTAAATATAATTGAGTGTAAATAGAAAGATGTCTGTCTTAACGACCCATAAATTAAAAGAAATATTGTTATTTCAGTTTTACAGGAACATTTTTTGATACTTGCATACTTGGATGTTGAAAAATAATGTTACCTAGCATTATATAGATCGGTATATACAAATAAACATATACATAGTGGATACTTGTTAGTTAGTAATATTAATCTATAATAAATGAAAGCTTATAATAAACCAATTACCCTTTATTTATTTTATTTTTTTCTTGTAACATATATGTTACTATCTAAAAATTAAATGGAATAATAATGAAATAAATTAGTCCTTTTATGTTTCTGAAATAAATTAAGTTTACCGAGTCTTGCATTGCAATAAAAAATGAAATTAAATAAAATATAATTATTCGTATACAGTGTTCTCTAACTGGTGATACAAGCGAGCAGTACGTGGTACAAATGTACGCATACTTGACAAATGTTCAAACTTATTTTGCTCAAAAACAATATCTTATATGAATAAATTGTATTCAACACTTTCAACTAAGTGTTTAACATAGAATCACCCTCTGCTCGTTTTGTGCCATCAGGACATTCTGTATATTTAATAATTTAAAAAAAAAAAGACATTTTTACAAGGAGTAACATATATGTTCTCTTTTTGTATAGGAAGAAATAATGTTTGCAATGAAATAAATATCTGATTATCTCTATCGATCATAAACTATGATAAATAATAGTAATAATTTAATCACCTTAATTTAATCCGTCTAAACTAAATATCTAGGTGACGTTGAGACATAATTAATATCTTTTTTTTTTTATTAATTAATTAGTATTATGATTTAAACAATACTTCCGTGAATAAATCATGGATTTGATTTTTTGTAGATTTATATTGAATATATTTATGTTTTTTGATCATATATAAAAAAATGCAATTATCCAAAGCACATTTAAGAATTGTTGTTTTCAGGGACAATTTATTACAACATAGGAGAGACAGGTGTACAATGGGAGAATTTTTGAAGAAAATCTAATAGAAAAATTCAATCGTATATCCTACAAAATTTCAAAGAGATGACATACATCAATAAATAAAAATTCTAAAAAGCTAATAAAAGTTAAGCTAAATTATAGTAAGTAAAATATACTTTTATTATTTCTTTTTTGGACTACGTAGAATAATATATATTATTATATGTACATATGTGCCTTGATGATGATTATCGTTTAAAATATAGTTTATAATATACAGAATTTAATGTTTTTTTAAAAATCCGTTAAGAGAAATAAATTCAATACTTCGTATTTCATTAGGCTGTGCTTACTTGCTATAAAAATTTTAACATTTATATCTCATATCATAGAATATTTTTTCGTATATTTGTATATCATTAACTCTTTGTATTGTAGAACACAATTGTAATAATAATAGTTACATAAGAATATATGTAAGATTATACAGTGGGCCATTGGTTAACGAATAATTTACAGAACAAACAAGAAGTAATCCTGTGCATAAGACTTGTAGAACTGTATTAATCAATACTCAGTCAACAAACAATTCGGATAATGAACATCATCTTTGAATAGAGATTATGTTCATTTACTGATCACCCATTGTACTTCAAAAAATTCAAACATATTTTTTATACAATGATTATAAATTCATTGTTGATCGTATGAAAAATTTTATGAAAGAAAATTAACAATATTTTGTAATTAAACAATAAATGTTTTCATGTATTACTTACCATCTTGTTTTCAAATTTTTTTCATTTGTACGTACTACTATTTTTATATAATATTATTGGAAATTTAATATTTTTACTTTTTCAATAATATATTTATATATTGTAAAAGGATTTATTATTTTTTCTTTAACAGTAATAGATATTCGAAATTGCATATATAAATTAATTCTCTTTCTTTTTATTACACTTTTTTAAGGTAATCATACGCAACATAAATAATTGTTATGATTTGTATATATTATGTATGAAGAATTATGATATTGCAATATTTTGTTCGAAACCTATTATAATAAAACTTGAATTATTTAGCAATATTATCCAGCACCTATAAATTGTTTATCTGATATACAATGCGGCCAGATTTTATTTTTCTACAAAGCAATGCGATTTTCAAATCTGTGGTATTTTTAAGTCTGAAATGTCTAAGCTATTTCGAATACATAAGCTATATCATATATTATATTTATTATAGAAGTTTGTAGATAATAATAATTCAAGCATAACATATTCTAACCATAACCAACATGTAAATGTAATAATTAAAAGATAATTTCTTGATAAAATAATAGGAGAGAGAAATAATAATATTAGGCCTTTCAATGATGAAATAGCTACAAAGTTTAAAGCTAAATAAATTTGTATATAAGCAATAAYAAAATTAAAATAGATAAATAAATAAAAATTTGTTTGCAAATAAAAAATTGAAAATATATATCAGTAACAGCATTGGTAATTATTGCCAATATGATGTATGCGTAGAAATTTGTCGATTGCACGATTAAACATTTGATTTGTTAAATTCCTTTATTATTTAATAAGCAAACCAAAAGAGGCCTCGATATTTTAAAAATGTAATTTTTGAAAGATGTGAGATATTTAGTTCCTTATCAACAATACTTTATCAGTATATATACTGACGTTGATTAGAGGTCACTTGTCTTTTACTTATTACTAAAGTTTATGAAATATTAGTAAAATGCTTTATCGCAAAGGAAGTTCGTTATTTCTTCAATATTTCCTTTCAAACAATAAATATACATTTACATGAGAACATATTACAATTTGATCGATTATATTCAAATTAATCTCTTGGTACTTTAATCTTTTATCTCTCTCTTTTATTTTTATACAATAATTATTTGTGACTTGAACGTTGTCGTCGTAATACTACGTAAACTATTTACGTATTTTTCTAAACAATAATACAATTTCATAGCAAAAATTCTATACAACAGTATAGAGACAAATTAATGAAAATAAGAAATAATATTATTTCTAATTGATCTTCAGAATAAAATACTTGCAATTTTTAAGCTAATATGCGCGAATAAAAAATTTGAAAAAGGCTGAATAATACTGTTTCTTTTAAAAAGGATATAATTTAGTATATATTTGTATATTTAGAGAGATATTATATATATATATATATTCTTTTCTAAGCTTTTCATTAAACTTCTAATAATCTCAGCATTATTCCTTTCGTTACTATCGACTCATAGATGGGTCGTTCATGCAAAGGCCCCATATGTATAAGTGAATTTATGTAAAACGATACTCGCGCCAAAGCATGCCGTAAAGAAAGGATTCAAATATTTCTAACTCCAATCTAAAATTTGTTTAGTTATAATGACATTAATGAGCAAAAGATATGTTTGATATCTTTCCATATGAAAAACTGTAATGAGAAACAATAATGGAGAGATATATTGTAAACGATCTGAAAAACTTACAAATTTCTATAAACTATTATAAATTTCATTTTGTCTTATCCGACCTAATAAGAAAATAAAATTGACGTAGATTTGATTTGAATTCGACATGGCTCTACAAAAGTATTGTATATACGAATGATCTATACAATTAAATATAATCCTTCATTCAATATATAATCCTGTTGTTCAGAAAAGTAGTAGTGGCAGTATATTCATTCAGCCTTAAAAAAATGATAGTCATAATTCTGTAAAATGAACTCATTAATAACTACAAAGTTCATAAACTAGCTTAATCTAAAATAATGAATAATACAATATATTTACCTCTATTCTTCTTTTTCTTGGTCGTCAGATTTCTCTTCATTTTTATCACCGGGTTCTTCCATTTGTTCTACGTCTTCTTCGTTCTCCTTTGTTCCACCATCGAGCTCCGTCGCTTTGGATTCATCTAATGGATCATTGTCGTTTGGCAAATTAGTTCTATCTTCTGCGCTAAAATAGTAGATTTTATATAGTAATTTAAATTTCAATGAACTTTTAGAGTAAGGATTGTTAATGTGTTATTGAACATTGATGTAATATCAAATTATTGTAATTTATAAATGAATTTAATATAATCTATTACTTACAAGATTATGCAATCAAATATTTCGTAGTGCATACCTTTCTGATTTTACTGTAGCTGCGTCTTTGTCTGTGGATGGCTGCAACAAATAGGTGATATTTATGAGTAGACTAAATAAATTTAGTATCAAGGACGCGAGCCTAGGAAATAACTATAGATAATTCTCAGATTTCAGCTTTTAATGTTAAACTAAAGAACAATGTTAATGAAGGATGATATATGATGCTCATTTTTTATAATACTGGATGTCATATTCAATTTTAATGAAATCATTTAACGTGGAAACATAATCATCTAAAAGAAAGCACTTAAAACGCATTACTTATAATTTCATATAACAAACCTCTCGACTGGAAGTATTCCCATTTTCTTGAATATCGTTATTTTGTGCATTCGAATCTTGAGAAATATCTTCTGGACTGACTGGAGGTGTCATCTTAAGAAATTTCTCTAATTCGTCTAATTCATTAGCCATGTCAAAGTCTTCATAATCCTAGAAATACATTTTCTTATTATTGACACTACAATTCAAGCATTGAAATATAAAATATAAAGAATTAAAAAAGAAAAGTTATAATTTACCCCGCAGTATTCATCTTCGTTAAATATCTGAGGCGGTAAAGGATATTTACTGTCTTTTCCAACGCTATGGCCTTGCATAAACTCTTTATCCAATTCTTTTCCTGGTTCAGTTATATCGATGGTTTCATATTCTACATTTTTACTATCTAATATCATCAAAACCCGCTGCTGTCTTTTCTTCACCTATTAAAAATAACAACTATTAGTGATACTAATAATATAAGTTAAAGTAACAATGATTAATTTTTATTTATTATACTTAAGTTAATAATAACGTACTATAGTTGCACAGTTACTGACACATGCTATTGTTTATAAGTAACAATAAATAGAACACTTGTAAAAAAAAAAAAAAGAATAAATAAGAAAACTCGAATGCAATTTTAAAATGCATTTGCATACAAGGTGTACCATGTCAATAAAAAAAAATTTAATAAAAGATAGTAGAAGACAACTTTCACCAACTAAACGGGATCGAAAAAATGAATCATTGACACGTTGAAAGATAAAATGTTATAACATATGTAAGAAAATATATCTGATTTAAAGGAACGTCATGTAGGTAAATGATAGTAGAAGTGACAGTGACCACTGTCCGATTGTATGAGTTTCATTGTAATTTGATCCACCATAGTACGTTAAGCATGAAATGTCATAAATAATCGATTGGCCGGTTTGTTGGGATCACTATCGAGTATAGATCATTATTATTTGATCATCGAATGTTAAGAACGATTATTGATTTAAGGTTATTGTTTGGTCGAAGGGTAATTTGCTTCTTTTTTGTTTTGTTTTTTCTTCTTCTTTTTACTTACTTCCTTATTCCCGCTGATACCCGATACGTAGATTTTAACGACCATCCTTAGCCGGTGTCCACTTCTTATCGATCGACGCCTTCCAGCTTTATCTCTCAGCAACGATCCTCTTTTGACCCTACGAAATGTCAACGAATATATATCAGCGTTAAAAAATTTGTGATTCACCGCGAATTAATTGTACGTATTCGTAATCCAACAGCGATGACGATGATATATGATGAGTAACAGAGGACAGTTCAATCAACGTACACGGAATAAGCTAGTGCTCCTTGTTTCTAATACTTCGATACTATGTCTATAGCTACGTCATTCATGCTAAACTCGTTGTGTTGGGTGTTCTCATAGGCGATTGCATCTTGTTTCTGCCGACTAACGCTAGGTGTCGCTACTGAGCAGTTACATATAGGGTGTTCACAATATAATAAACATAAAAACTTTGCCTAAAAATAAACAAATTACAAAATCAAAAGTATAAATATTTTATATTATTCTTATAACTAATAATATAATAATTTATTATTATATAGAAATTAATTACCATACTAAAATATAGAATGTCTAACAAATAATGACCATGAAAACCATAGCTGAAAATATCGAAATTACAAAATTAAAGTTATAAATATTTTTAATTATTTTTATAATTCATAATATGAAAATAAATAATACAGAATTTAATAATTACTCTCGTCTATTTAAATCACTATATAATTACATTATTTTATTAATATATTACTTAAAAATCTTACGATAAAATTCCGTTTTTTGAAATCATGTATCTTCCGGAATACGCCATATTATAGTCGAGTCGGCTTAGTACTCTCATTCTTTCTTCCGTTTTCATCGAAGATCTTATTTAACTGTACAAAATGGTAAGGTGTAAAATCTATTTTTTTTTAATTAAATCGTGTTAAATTATTACAAAGTGTTTTAAGAATATATCATAGTGTAGTTTTGTTTAATAATTTTTATATTTATTATCGTGAAAGTTTACACTTTTATGTAAATTTGTATTTTAAGGTTATATAGCGAATAGTTTACTGTTTATTTCTAACTTGCTGTATTTGTTTTTACAAGTGTTTGTTTCTTTTTATTTATTAAAATTTATAAACTATGGTTTTTAACTTACCATGTTATAGTAATTAGCAACATCAAATCATCAAAATTGTTGAATTAATAAGGTGATAAGTATTCTTTCTGTAATTAGGCTAAACGTACAAAGAAGGTTGGAATCACAGGGAAATATGGTACCCGTTATGGTGCCTCCCTTAGAAAAATGGTTAAAAAGATGGAAATTACTCAGCACAGCAAATACACTTGCACATTCTGTGGCAAAGTTAGTATATCATCCACATATTTATACTTGTATTTCATTGTAATATTAATTAATTTTTATTAAAATTCTATCTCTATAGGATGCTATGAAACGTAGTGTCGTTGGAATTTGGTCATGCAAACGATGTAAAAGAACAGTCGCTGGTGGTGCTTGGGTGTATTCCACAACCGCAGCTGCATCAACTAGATCAGCCGTTCGAAGATTGAGGGAAGTTAAAGAACAGTAAATGTAAATAATAAATATGTTAACATACATTTTGTACATCTATGTTTTTTATTTCATCATCTCCTGATTCATGGATTTATATTGTCATAGATTTAAACTTTACGTGTATAATTGACTTACGAATTACCACCCTATACATTGAAGCTACAAATTGTATCTTTGTGTTAACATTTAATAAATAACGATAAGCTTCCAAAGTATACAATAAGTTACAAACGGTCTAGAGTCATTCAATAGTAGTTAAAGTAAAATCCAGTTTATTTAAAACGCCGTTATAATCCAGTTATATTCAATTATCTATTAATGCAACTTTGAACTCGAGTTAAATAGTTTTAATGAAGTACAACAACTCTATGCCGATAAATACTATAATATTCTATATTTGAGGCACATTGGACTCAAAAAATCAAGGTATTGACACTAAATTATTTTTATCTATTTACATTCAAAGTATAAATTATATATAGCAAACTATTTTTTTTTTTTTAACAATATAAGTATCAATTGATTCATATAAAAGAATATTCGTCATAGTTAAAATGTAAAAAATCTGTACAGTGCAGATATGCATGTAATAAATAATTTATTTAATTAAAAGCTGACGAATCAATTATATCCTATACACGTTTTGTTGCTTCATGGGTAAGTAGTACATGAGGATACGTATACCTTTTTTTAAGGCAGAATTATTTATAATTTTGCGATTTTTATCAAACATTAAATCAAAGGTGTACATTTCTAACAAATAACTAATTATATATATTTTGCAAAAAAGGTTAAGGTTGATTAGAAAATTTGTTTTTTTTTTTTTTTAATTTTAAAAATGAGTATTAATTCGTTCATCATAAGTTTGTTTTAATGTCTGCCTGTTAATTACACTTTCGCAAAGTATATGAGGCCACATGACGTAGATAATTGTTTCTTTTTTTTATGCAACTCGTTAAATATAGTATAAGTACACTAGATTATTTCAAAATGGCTTGTAAATTAAATATTATAATTTACAGTTCACAAGTATAGAATAATATTAATATTTATATGTAACTTAATGGAACATGTGTAGATTGCTTTATTGTCTTTAAATTTGCATCTTCTGACTTTCAACACATTGCAGGAAAGAACAAATTCATTTTAAGACAGAATATTAGTAAATAAATAACATTTGCAAATATGAAAAAATTGGAAGTTTGTTTCACTGATTTTGTCTATGTAATGGACGTTACTACATTAAGTTTAACATTTGAAAATATATGTATATATAATATGTATATATATACATATGTTTTACATAAGTTAAAAATACATGAAAAAGTACAGAAAATAAAGTGATGAAAGATTTCTATTGTGATCAATGTAACGGTGAATGCGCAACGAAACAATTATGTTATTTAAGACAATGATAATTTGTACTTCATTTTCTGTGCAAACATTAGAAAGTATATAAAAGAAAATAAAACATTTTTAGGATTGCAATATATGGAATGACAATGACATGGAAATACTATCGCTTTGTCTTCGTTTTTGTTTCTTTTCTTTCCTTTACATATCAGCGAACATGCTTTACTGAATCTGAATAGTTTTAAATTGTTAATTTTAGTTAGATTCTCTTTTTTTTTCAAATATATAAAATCAATCTAAATCCTGTACAAAAATAAACATTGCTGTTTTAAAAGTCTAATTACATGTACATATATAGGCTATAAATGATAAATTATTGTTGTACCATCACCATAATATTTTTTTTTCTTCAGATTAAATATATATGTATTAATAATACTAATGTTGCCAAGTATTAAAGTTTCACTATGGTACACAACATATTCTAAACATCGTAAATGGAGGTGTTGAGAATATAAGAAAAACTGTATTACTCACGTGTTACTAATTGTAGATATAGGAAGTACAGATATTATCTTACACGAACATAAAAATAAATTCATCGTTTCAACTACAACTGAATATTGCAATTTTTTAGCATGGAAATTTATAATCAAAGGGAAGGGCGCCAGAATCTGAAAGACATCTATTTTTACTCCTAGCCGATGGTGTAATATTTTTTGTATGTTTAACTGTGACATTAGCAACGATAAACTATGCTAAAGCAGAATGTAATATATCTACGAAGAATAGTTGTTTATTTTATTACAATAAAAATATGGAGTCTTTATTAATAAAATGTGGAAGACATGTGTCAATAAATTTAAATGAATATGTAAGATATATAATAACAAGATTATAACAAACAACAGCCGATAATCTTTTAAATATTTAACTAAAACCTCGTAAATGTAATCTCATCGTGCTTTAGTGTGAAAAAGATTAATAGAATCTTTGCTTTTATTGAAAACAAAAGCATCGTAACAACTTAATTACGAATGAAATGCAAGGAACTGTCAGAAGTATCGTTATAAAAAGATCCAGTGCTCTTCCCTAATTAATAATAATGGATTGTACAATACAAGTTCTCTATAATTAGTATAACCAGTAGTGTCACCATTAATTTCACTTTCATACTAACAACACTCACACGATCATAGTTGTGACACAAATTTACCATATCCTTAGATTTTTTTGTTTCTTATCTTCACACATATAAGATTACCATCTTTCAAACGTCTGCCATTGCACACACCCCAAATTATCAAATATGTCTCTCTTTCTTTTATCAACAAGTATTTATTTATAACAGTAGTCTGATATGCTTTCTCTGTTACCGCTTACTAAAAGAAGAGTTCATTCTCTTGTTCTTTTTCCTTTTCTTTTTTAGTATCACTTTTGCACGTTCTCACACAATCAGAAATTTATTTCTCTTATTCTCATACATTAATCAAGGCATACCATAAGAAATGGCAGTAACTAAACACCATGGTCTTAGTAAAGTCTAATTAATATTTATCTTATTAAATAAATGAATTATTTAACTCGCGAGCCATTTGTTTCTTATTATGATTCACATCAAGTTACTTTCTTTTCCCAATGTTCATTTCATTGAGAATTTACGTCAATCTGATGAATCGACTAAATATAATACAGCGACGATGTTCTCTATTCAGTCATAATACTTGTCGTTCTGCCGCGATATTATCTTATGGTCAGTTCCTTGATTATAATCTATTAAATATATTAACAAATATTGTATAGAGGTCTGCACTTAAGCTCAATGTATATTAGCTAGCTTGCCATTTGAATTTGCTTTGCATAATCCATTTCTGTCCAGCATTGTGTGGATCGCAAGGTGCAAGAACAGGCTGTGAGGCATCTCCTGAACGTGGTTTTGACAGACAATGGCCTGTATTTGTATGTCTGATCATCTTCGTCTAAAAAATATTTATATTTAAGTGTAATTGTCAATAAATTAATTTACTATAAAATATTATTATATCTTTTGTACCTCTTCATTGTAAACCCATGCTTGATTACCACCCATCCCATGGCAACGAACAATTTTAACTGGACCTTGGGGACTGGCTGCATCAAGGCACATATCATCTGACATTATTTGTTGTCGTTTCGTATAAGCAAACACCTAAATGTTATAGTAATTCGTCAGTAAATATTTTAATAAATAAGCCAATTTTTTATAGTTAGAATTTTAAACATACTTGATTACCACCTAGTCCATGACAATAGCTAATACCAACAACTTCTCCTGTTCTTCTACCCATGGTATCCAAACAGGTATGTGTATCAACATTTTTTACATCACCGAGATAATAATAATCTAGTGGCATCGGTGATTCCGGATAAATATTTTCTAAATACCACCTGAAGCTCTTACATTTAAGACGTTCTCTTAACTTTATCCTTTCCGATACGTTTCCAACAACTACGTTTCTCGCACCTGCAAAGTTTACGCTTTGTTTAAGAATTATTGTATTAGATTTTATTAAATAAAAATATGTGAACATATATATTAGTAGAAAATAAGTTAATGAAATATGTCAAGATATGTGCTAAATAAAGAAATTGCCATGTGTGATAATACATTAATTATTTGCCCATTAAAACGACCATAGTATATACCATGAGCATATTAAGATATTTGACAATGAGCAAAATAAATTAGATATTTGAAAGTGAAAAGAATTTCGTGATATGGCTCTTATTTCATTCGTGTAAAAACTCGTACACAGTAAAAATATTATTGTACGATAGTGATAACGTGATTTTAGTGACAAAGAAAATTATAGTTTATTTATTTATTTTTATAAAGATCGTATTATATCGATCAAGTTTAAAGCAATACCCTCTTGCTGCTGAAATTGAAATAATGATTAACAATCCTGCAATTAAATATTGTCCTTAGGTGGACATGAACGGGTATCTGATAGAAGTAAGCGATATTCCAAAAAACCATAAAGCAGTAGTGTTAGTTGCAAAACCATGCTAACCGCCCAAAAAAAGATACATGCAAAATAAAGAAACCAGGAGTATACATAAAGTATAGAGATATATATTATGTGTACAAGAATTTTCTTTCTTTCTGTTTTATTTTTTTTTTTTTCAGACATTGGTGTTAGTGCTACCTGGATTAATGTTGTAATAGAAGTACTTCCATTGGTCCAACCAGACCTCTACGAGGCGCGCATTGTTGTGGTTCACTATCTTGCTGGTTCCACCGGGGAAGGTATATGGAGTTGACTTACGGAATACATGTCCAACGTGTGAGCATGTTGCAATTTCCAATGTCCCACCACACATCCATATCTAACCAACTCAGTTGTGTTAGTGTGTTAGCAAATACAATCAAATTACATAATAAAAAGAAAATCAGAAGAAGATATATTATGCACGTTATCAAATTCTTGAGCTCCTTCTTTTTCCCATCTGGACTCCTAGATAATATAGCTAAACAAATATCAAAGGCAAGCAATATTTTAATGTTAGTTGGCTGGATGGATGAGTGGTTAAGGCTACGGTTTCACACATATTAGAATATCAAATAAATCAATACATTATCCAAAATGAAAAGCATAATTATTTATAACTATTTTAGTTTCTTTTCCCTATGTTTACATGACACGTCAAAACAAGAAACAATTTGAATATTATATCAAATGTAACTATGATATCGCTCCATCTACTTTCTAAGTTTAAATTTATAAGCAATAATTCGACTAAATCTCTTATACCTTTATAATGCAGCTATTTAAATGTATGATATAAATAAAAATGTTATACAATATATGTGTAAAATGTCATAAAAGATCATTAAAAAGTTTTATTAATATATCATACTTTAAATATTCTTATCAAAAGTATTTTAGAACACTAAAAATACAAAAAGACAAATAAAAAATAAATAACCACTAATAAAATAAATTAGCTAACAATAATTTATATCAGATACCCGTTGTATATATCATGATCTTATTTTTCATATAATTTCGTTCGTCATCTTTCTTCTTTTTTTTTTCTTTTTCATATACATATGACATGATATTTCATAATATTTTTTTCTGTCCAAATGAGTTAGAAAAATAATTTGTATTTTGAAGCATCGCTGTCTGCTTATTAATTCCAGCATACATGCAATACAAATTTGGTAACAGTAGTAATAATTGTCATTTTTATTAGTAAAACTTATTCGTATTATTTGAGTCGATTGGAATACTAATTAATGCGAATAGGTAAAACTATGCATTTACTTATCTAACCTGGGTTCATGGCATAGTAAAAATCTCTCCACTCATCCATCCAGACTTCGGCAACCCTGGCCGCGTTGTGTAGAACTATCTTGCTGACACCACCAGGAAACGTATACGGGCTCTTGTCGCGGAATACATGTCCCACGTGTGAACATGGACTGATTTCTAATATTCCGCCGCATTGCCATACCTATAAGTTACTTATGATTTAAAAATAGAAATAAAAGTGAAACTTTCATACAACCGTATTGATTGCCAATCAGTATTTCTCTGTTTCGGAGGATGGTACAATTAATTATAATAAGCGAGTATGTCTAACGAGATACGAGTAAGAAAGAAAGTGTTAAGAAAAAAACTACAGAGAAAATTCATTTGTGTGGTATTATCAAATAGAGGAAACAAACGTTGAATTTCATCTTGAGAACATCCAGCATGTTAGTACAAAAAAAAAAAAGAAAAGAATAGAAATACAAAATAAAAGTAACAAAAAATAAATATTATACATAATGCAAGAGATATAACATTAAAAACAAAGTATTATATTAACGAGTAAAAGAATAAAACTCACTCGGAAACTCATTTCAAGATTTTCACCACCCCATATGTCCATTCCTTCGTCATAGGCACCAAGCTCATAGAAATAGTCTTTATCTATAGAAAACAAACCCCCTGCCATTGTTGGTGTACGTAATGGAGCTGTCCTATCCCCGTTTCTTCTGTCCATTTCTCTTTGTGCGACTCTGTACCTTATTAATTGGAATTTTTCCATTAGACAATGAATAGAACAAATCGTTTTATTTCTCTTTCAAAAAAAAAAAAAATTTAATTAATAAGATAATAGAATAACAATAATGCTATACCATCGAAAATTCAATTTCCAATTGAAACCACCCCAAGTCATGTCACTTGCAGGTATATATTCAAATGTATCATCGCTAATAACATCGATAATTGGGCATACAACGATTGTCCTATCGTCGGCTATCCTTGAAAGTAAAGGTTCTAGCCATCCTTCTGTACATTCGCAATGTGCATCCAGAAATGTTATAACTTGTCCTTTTACGTGTTTCGCTCCTAAAAGTCTAGCTCTAATAAGACCTGATCTTGTCTTCGTGCGATAAACATACGTCGGTACGGGTAAAGTTTGTACATAATTTTCTAAATCCTTCTTTAAATGATCTGTAAAAGAAAATAAATTTAATATTATTTAATGAGTTGGTTTTTAATAAGAGAAGAAAAGAGAAATAAAAGAAGATATATAAGACGTACCTCGTTCACTAGCATCATCAACGAGTATAATTTCTTTCAATAACGATCTAGGTGATCGATTGATAACGGACCAAACAGTACGCAATAATGTGCTCCAAGCCTCGTTATGAAAAACAATAACGATACTAGTGTCAGGAAGAAACTTATTGTACTTTTTCGTTTTACAACCCTCGAGTCTAATGTCTTTTAATGAACGATGTAATGAAATCATGTCACTAGCCATTAGATTAAATTGATTCAATTTAAATAACTCTTGTTGTTTAGTTTCTAATTCAGGCGCAATATGTACAGCTGCTCCCATTTCACCTGGACTACCCTTATTTTCTCTAACGACCTTAGCAGGCCTCCATAAATGTAATTCCGATTGCTTGTACTTTTTTTTATCATACAATTGTAAATCGACAGCTTCTCTTTTAATCGCTTGAGGGTGCGGTTGACTTTCTTCCGTCGAAATTGTTTGCTTGTTCGTCTCGGAACAACCCCATCCGGATCCTCCGATGCAATCCGAATAGAACATAAGTACCATAACGTCTACCAGGAACCATACTAATGACGTTAAAAGAATCACTTGACATGTGTGAATGCGAATCTTTGAGCGAAACATTTTCCCTCGAGTCCTGACCCTCTTAATCCTGAGTGCATCACCTAATTTTTCCTTATTTATCCCTTTCGAAAAAACGTACGCGCGTTCTTTCGACTTTTTTCTTTTTTTTTCTTTTTCTTTTCTATCCAATAATTACTATTTTTATTTAAATAATCGATCGATCAATCGGTATCATCTAAATAAAGCTTTCCAAATAATTTTACATGATTTTATTTCAGCGCATCTCCGTTTTTTTCTAAAACAAAAAGATATTCAACATTTATATATATTATAGAGTTTAAAAGATAAATTAAATTTAAAAATAAATTGATATATCACAGACAAATTTCTTTTTAAATTGTAGGTAGGTTTAATATTAAACTATGTGCTAATATTTAACGTGGTTTTACATGCCAGAAAATGTACTATTTTCGTTTCGGTTAGCAACAACTAAATTTCTCTCTGTCTCTCTCAATCTCGGATAATTGTTAAAAAGCGAAAGGGAATACTGTATACGGGATGCGTTTCGTAGATACGCAGGAAATTGATCCGCGCAAAGGCAAATCTCTCTCTCTCTTTCTCTTTCTCTCTCTCTCATTCTCTGATTCTCTTGCTCAGCTAATGAGACCATTCACTCTCTGGGAAATTATATTGTGGTGAGGAAACAGTCGAGCAGCAGCCAATGATATTAATTAATTAGAGAACCATTAAATAATGTATTTTCTAGCTAGTAGGGAATTCAATAACGATATTTGTAAAAAAAAATTACTGTTGTGTGAATATAGATGTATACATAATAGTTCTATGTTATATTCTATTTTTAAAACAAAGTTCACGTTAGTATTTTCATTATTGACCTCGCGAGGTCAATCTATTTCAAGCTATAGTATATGTATTATAGAATTAATACAATAATAGAGAGTAAAAGAGAAAAAAAGAGAAAAAAATTATTACGTTTAATTTTTTCTGTCAGTATCATTCTAATTGACCCATTGATACATTTATTTTTTTCATATTTCAATCCAACTTTTGCACAATATATGTTAGACAACATGTTGCTCTCATATTTTATTTCTCTTCATTCAAAGATTCAAATAAAATTATTTCTATTTATTTGGTCAATATTTTGTTAAATAAATGATCATAATCATATGTTCATTCTAAGTACATGTTGATACTTAATAATTAATAATTATTTACCATTTATATTGCATACAAATATTTTGTTACAAATACTGACCTAGTCAAACAAATTAATTTACTTTACTGTATTATACATTTAATTTTTTTTCACAAGAGGTATCTCATTATTTTTATTCCGTTTACACGATAAATTAAAATTGATAAAAACTGTGATGCATGCGTATGTTTATTTTGAATGAATGAATGAATGCATGCATGCATGCATGCGAAGAAAAGGTTCGTTTTTTTTTCTTTTTCTCTTTTGTTATCTTCTCAGGTAAAAATATGCGCAAGGACACGTAGGAGATCATATAAGTCAAACAGGATCTTCATTGGCGAAGGCTATCGTGTTCCACATACGTAAAGCTTCATTGAAATTGAAAGTATACGAAAGAGCCTTTCACATATATTATATTATACATTATTAAATACAAGAATATAAATATTTATGTATACTTAAATCAACGTCTAATGCATATTTATGCATAAGTAAAATAAAACAATTAATTCATGCACATTTTTATCTACTAACGAAAGTATTTTAAAAGTTGCATTGCGATTCAAAAGTTTCCAAAGTACGTACACGTAGTTTCGGAACGAAACAAATTCTCTAAATATGTTAATTATTTATAGTTCACATATAAATTATGTTATCAAAGTTATAAGGATAAATATTTATACATTTTTTTTTATCAATCTCATACAAATTATAAACGTAAAAATATGTATAAAGTAAAAAAAAAATTTTTTTTTCAAAGTTGTTCGACGATCGTAGATGCGAAAACATTATTTTAGCGTTAAAGAATATTTTCTGTATTTTTTATTTTTTAACCATATGAATAATTAAAATGTACGTGAATATATTCCTGCCGATGACGTTTCTGTCATAAAATGTATTCATGCGATAAGAGAAGTAATAAGTTATGGTACGTCGATGATTCGACAGTGGCATAGTATTATTGCATTTTTTTTTTATCTTGTCGCAAATTGGAATGATCGAATGAAATTGAACAATCAATGAATTACAAATGATTGAATATATTCTTTTAAATTAATAAGATAATTTACATCGATACAATTATATTATGGTATATGCAATTTCAATTTAGGACATGAAATAACAATTAATTTTGTGACGATAAAATGAATTAAAATGAATTATACACTTGTCAAATTTTCTAGACGAATATTTTTTTGGATGCAGATTATATAACTATAAGCTTAACTGCAAGTTTAGAAAATGAATGAAAAGAATAATTGATTTTTAAAATGATCCGAGTAGCTTTAAATTCGTCTCGTATTAAATATATTTAAGAGAGCCTACTTTTGAAGTATTTTTTGTTGTTGCTACTTGTTCTCTGAATGCGAAAGAAGAGTATACATGTTTTCGACAGTAATTTGTACGCGTCTGGTTCTAATGAGCTAAAACTAGGTCTACTTTCGCCAAAGTGTATGCGGACACATTTCTCATTGTTCTCGCTAGTCTTCTTGTAGTTTTATCTTTTCGACATTTGACAGTACTGTTATACTAGTACTGGAAAATTATTTCAGAAAGGTATACTCTCTTTCTCTCTCTTTCATACAATGAAGATCGCAGTATCATACGGATACCGTTATTACGCACGCGGTTTTATACGGGTCACAAACCGGCACATACTTTTCCAGATTGTTGAGAATAGATTTAGCGTGAGATACACATTTGTGTTACCTTGATCGAATTCTATTAAAAGAAAAAAAAAAGAGAAAAAAAGGACGAAATAAAAAAAATCCAATATCATCAAACCCTCTATAATCCAATTTTGTTCTACCCCGTTTACAATCAAATTATATAATATAGTTTTTATTGTAAATAAATTTTTAAAACCGTGAAATAATTGGCCTACAAAAATTGTAGATAAAAGAATATTTCATTTGTACAATTATTTACAAAATTTTTGCTTCATTCTTTTTATTACTTGTATTAATTTAATATAGAACTTTTAAATATTAAAAAACGTAGCAATTTCGTATAAAAAGTAAGAATTAATTTTTTCATATGATAGAAGAAACTAATATTTAACAAATGCAAATACAGATGTATAAAAAAAGTTCTTATAAATTTTGTAGGAAAAAAAAAAATATATATATATATATATATATATATATATATATGTTTGAAAACGTGTAAAAATATTAGAAAATACGGATAGTATAGAAGTGGAACAACGAGACTATATCGGAGTTTAACAGCATAACGAAACGTCGTGCATGGCTAATTTTTCTTCCCATCAGCATAGTTATAACGTTGATGAAATACTATCTTCCATTTCGTATCTCTTTTCATTTCTTATTAGATATTTTTCTTTTATTTTTTTTTCTTTCGTTTTTTTTTTGTTCATTTCATTTCTTCCTATTGTGCAATAGGATTTAACCAGCTCAGCGAGATATTACAGTTTTAACTGCGATGGAAATTCTCTCTTCTGTCTCTCTCTCTCTCTTTYTCCTTTCTTTCTTTCTTTTCTTCTTTTTGAAGATATCTACCAGGAAAAGTTTACTACTACTGCTTCTTTATAAAAGACCTTTTGATTATTAACAGACGAAATGCAATTCGACGCAAGTGGATTTCAAAAGGATCCAGTTAGTAGTATTGTATCAAATTTGAAGAATAAGTTGAAATCCTTTATTTAATTGTAAATTTTATTATAACAAAAATACGTTAAGACGATCGAAACTACTTTCGTTATTAAATTTTTTTTTATATGTTTATAGAAAGTATACGATTTCAAAGTTACATGGTATTACATTTTAATCTGTTAAGTAAGTTCATTACGCATTTACAATGATCTACTCTCGTGTTTTTTTTTTTAAAACGTATAACTCAAAGAGTTTAAATTAAATATGAATCGATTAATTCTTTACTTTGATAAGAAATTAAATAATTTAATAATTGATTATATAAAATTTCTTATGCGATAATCAAAATTAATTTATTTATGTCTTATTTAAATTAATTTATTTGTAAAATAATCTCTATAAACATTAAAAATTTTGACTTTCTATGAATTTTAAAAATTGTTTGAATATATTAAGTAAAAAATAAAATGAACAATAAAGCTACGAAAAGTCAGTCACAGAACATTATCTTTACAATTTGAATAATTAAATGTAATTGTTTGACTGTTATGGGCGCATATATGCGCTCGGTGAAAACTATCAGTGTGGCCTTATGGACGCATATCATCGGCGGCCACATGCCGCTCACGTGAAACGCTGCAACTTAGAAAAGCTCGCAATCAAAGGGTTAAAAATAAAACGATGAAGATAATGTTATCTATGTTAAAGTTAATGCCAGGAAACAATTATTTAATAGTACATAAGAATTGTTTTTATTTTCAATGAAAACGTGAAATGAAACGATAGAGTCTTCTCGTTTTACATTCCTTCCTTTTATCTCTTTCTCATATAAAGAACAAGAAATTTACTACTCGGAAAAGATAAAAGTCCCATAATCGTCCGATATGCATACGTCCAATAATGCTACTGCATTTCACGTGAAGTAAACATAAATGACTTTATTTTAAATCTTCTACTAAAGGTATTTAAACAGTTGTTAAATAATGATCAATATTCTAAAATGCTGTATAACTTTGAAAGTCACATATTTTAAATATCTATAAAGGTGAGTTTTGAAAAGTTTTAAACTTTAATAAAAAAACTTTTATTAAAAAAAATAAAATAAAATAAAAGTCCGACGGAAACAAAATTGTTTCTACTTATTTAAAACTATTTAACTCACCCATTATTTTAACTATAATATAAAGTTCTCCTTTTTTTGATATAAATACAGTATTAATTCTAATATTATATACAAACTCGTCTCATATTTTTTGAGATATGTTATATTTTATTTGCAATTAGTATAATATTATCTTTAAGCAAATAAAACTAATTAGATTATAAAATGGTTAAATCACTTGAACTATTTTACATTATATTATTTTCATGTACGTAAAAAATAAAATAAATTTATGGACAATTTATAAATACACGTAAAATATATTGAAAATAATAATCAATGAATAAAACTTATAAATATGGTCGTAAATATGCAGTTGTTGACAACGTACACGTGTTTTCTAAAAAAAATACTATTACATTTTATCAAATGATTCTTTTAAATATTATAAAAAAAAGAAAAAAATGGCCATAGAAGAGAAATATGATAGATATGCAATACTTGTTTTCGTCGTATGGTTTATCACACGATTTGATAATTTTCGGCGCGTTTATATGATACTAATCGGATTGGAATCCAACGATCGACACTTGGGACGTGTCACGAATAACGTATAGTACTGTATCCAACGGTATCTCGATAACACGCTATACGCGACATACCAATTGACAATTGTAATTGATTACAAAATAATAAAATATATTTAACAAGAGAAACGAAACAAATAACAATGATAATCCATAAACAATTAAAATTCCACAGTGTTAATTATGGCGGGAGAAAATAACTAGAGAATTATTTCGTAGCAACGGAATAAATAAATATTTTAAGTGGATCAACCGAACCTGCTAATAATTCGAGCGCATCGACCGCTACGAAACGATCTTTTTTTTTCTTCTTCTCTTCCTCTCTTCTTTCCCTAACCTTTTTCTGAATACCACAGGTATACCATGGATTTTCATATTAGTCACTTGATAAAAACGCTTTTTTAATGAGAATCTCGACACGATAGCAACTTTAATGTACAACTTCAAATCAAGGTCTTCGAGAAGCTTTCGTAACCTCAAGAAGACGAAGGCAAAGACGAAAATTGCATGTGTTACCTGAAATTTCTTATGTAGGGAGCCGCGTCACCGTTAAAAGTTACACATGTATACTAAACGACTGTATACGTATACAATATGTTACGTGTAAATGTAAAGATTAAGTACGCGTAATTCTATATATGAATCACATGGTCTGGATTTTCTAAGAACAGACGTTTACTGAAAGAATTTCAATTACATATATATGTACAATTAAATATTATAAATTACCTTTCTCTTAGGGTGATGAATATCTAAAGGTAGATACTTCCTTCAAGGATCAACGTCGACCAGGATATACAAATAGGAGTCATTAGAAGATTCACATACACATTAGAATACACACAGTGATTTATCTTAGAGACACGCGAGCGTCGTTTCGTTGCGTTGACGACACATACGCGTGTATTCTGTTCCTTCCTCAAGTTTTTTCTATAAATGAGAGAGAGAGAAAGATAATGAAAGAGATAAAAAACACAAGGTTAAAGAACGATTCTTAATGTTGTCGTTGTTAAATAAAAAGATAAACGAAGGGACAAACGATAAAATGATATCGGAACCACCGCCTGTTCCGTATTAAATCTTTATGGATATCGAGAAAAAAACTGTTCAGATTGAATTAGATTGAAGGTGGTCAAAGAACATACTGGTACTGAAATCGAACGGTACGGCGACTTTTACGGAAGATGCACTCATTTGGTGACGACGAAGACGATTACGACGGCGACGATGATGACGATGACGATGACGATGATAATGACGATACCAAATTTAAGAATTATTTTACACACTCATTCGCGCGTGTCATCAAAATTGACAACGCGCCGATCACACACCACCGGCGTACAGTCAGGTCTACTTCTTCTGTACAGTTCCTCTCTCTTTTTCTCTTTCTATAGTTATCTCTATCTCACTTCTCCCGAGAAACGTGAGAATTCGATCGTCGCAACAACCATCGGCCATCGCCCGTCGCCGGCTAACTTCACACTGCGTTACACCGTTCCTATACTCTTCTCTCATTGGTTCCGACCTTAGCAAATCCATGTCCGTCGCGCGGATACCAATAACCAATCGCAACGCTTTCTATTCGATATTTGCTAAAAGCTTTATTATTTGTTTATTTTTTTATTATTATTGTTTTCTCGATTAGATAAAAAAAAAGTCACCTTTGATTGATATTTAAAAATATATTATATTATTGTTGATTTTCATTGTCGTTTATTATTCTATTATCGAATTGTAAAAATTAGAACGTCTGTTATTAAATTTACATTATAAATTTGGGATTGTTGATTATGATTTATTTTACGATTAAAGATTATCGATTTATATTATTAACGATATACGATTATTTTACGATTATCTTATGATATAGGAAAATAAAAGTACTTACTTTACTTCAATTGTTATTTAATTTACAATGATTGTATGTATTTCATTGTTGTTCATTTTTCTCTATAGATTATCGGAAGGTTCATTATTATATGTCCATCGAAGGTCTTAAATTTTTAATTATTCGATTATTATTTAACGATTAATACTTCTTAGATTCAATGAAAGTACCTTTGATTGATATTTGATGTTAAATGATAGTAAAATTTAATCCTTGTCAACGATTTCGTGCAATAAACTTCGATTATTTAATTTATGATAAATTTAAAATGATTATTCGTTTATAATTTCATGATTAATTTTGATTTTAATATTATTACGTTTTAAATAATTGAATCATTTCATTTCATGCAGCGAATTGACAGATAAAAAGTTTAAAAAAATTATTAAATTGAATTGAATTTAAAAAAGTTTTTTTTTATATTAACTCACCTTCAACTGTCGCTTATAATTGAGACGTTGAATAATTAAATAATAATTTAATTTCTTCCAATGATCTAATGCGACGATTATTGCACTAATCAATTATCCAATCAGAGGAGTCAATAAAATTGCGATACCACCTAGCCAATTATCTTACTTCTTTGTTTATTTTCAAGCTAATAAAAGAAACTTACATCAACGAATTGTTAAGGTGGCGACATCTGTCCTTCAGTGGAATTATATTTAGTACGGACTGCTGCAAGCGGCAAAGTTGAAAGATTGTGAACAGTATTTATTTTCCGAGTTATTTGTGATTTTTTAATATAAAAAGTGTATTTAATTAAATATTTACAATTATTAACTTGTGTAAGTATTATGAGAATATAATTTTATATTTTTTTATACTGAAACACTTCTATATCGTTGTTAAAGATTTGTCAAATTGAATCGTTTAAAAATTTTTGCAAAAATGGCTACCGAATGCTTATGAATTTTTATTTGTAAATAATTAAATAAATTATTTTTGTATTATGAATATAATTTCTTTTTGAATAGTAATATTTTATTTTTTTAATCACTTAGGAATTATGGATGATGTTAAAAAAAATATTACAAGTTGCATGGAAAATAAAAAAAAAGGTTATAATTTGGCATTTACATATATATGTATAATTTGTTTTCAAATAATTTTATAATAATAGAAATAATATTGGGATAATTTTGAAACTGATAGTTCATTAATTTGTATTTTTATTTATTATTACGTAAGACGTTTGTTGCATTTAAAAGGTAAAAGTAACGTTATATTTTGCATAAGAAGCATAATATTGAATTATATTAATTATGATCAATATCAACTATGTGCATTACAAATAGACGGGATAGTGTGATGTATATATATATCTATTAATCCTTTCGTTACTAGCGACCCATTTACGGGTCGTCCATTCGAAGTCCCACCATATGAATCACTGACCTATATGAGGGTCGTAATATTCGGCAATACGTATGTTCTAGCAAATTTATATGGAACGATATTCGCGCCAAAGGATGCCCTAACGAAAGATTTAATCATGTATAGGTAGATGAAGGTACATACATATACGTATATGTATA